GAATTTCCTCTGCTCAATTCTTGTCATCCTGTGGCGTTCGATAAAAGTCGGACTTGTCCGGAAACTGAAGGCGTGAAGACACAGAATCCGGTTGAGTAATGCTGTTCGAGGCTGCGCCCCCATTTTGGGAACCCGAGTCTCCTTCCTCATTTGGGAATCCCAAGTCTTCTCGCTTTTTTGGGAAACCGAAGTCTCCACCCGGATATCGGGGAAGAATCCGCATGGTCTATGCTCCCGGTTCCTCGCCCCTCGGTACAGTGCTCGGTGAGCAGAGACTTTGAGGTTGCTATGCGGGGAGAGGAAGCAAGTGCATCCCGCATGGTTGGCCCGTCTGCGAGATGAGGGTTAGTGACGGTGACTCATCGCGGATGTTCTTTGAGAGTTCCGGGAGCTCGAAGGTCCTCATCTCCGGGGACCTAGTTGATTCAGATGCTTTGTGCACTCGGATTTAAGACGGAAGAGGCGTCGAATGGGCGCCCAAACAGGACACAATCTTGCACCCGACCCCCCGTGCCCGTCGACAACGACCATCAGGGATAACGCCCCCTCACAGTGTCGAATCTACGTGGATGAATACGACGACATCTCCAAGTCGGAGCACTCCGTTTGGGCGCGGCTGTTTTGGCGGCGAGCCGTTTGGGCGCGAGCCATCCGGACGCAGCATTGTACGGTGAAAGGCTCACGGTTTATCACCAATTCTCGTCCCAATCGCTCGGTTCTAGTGTAACGACAATCGGGATAATGACTAGACAGAAACGCCGGAAATTTCCCCCCGTGGGCTTCCGGGAGCGAATCATAAATTCTGAGTGAATCCATCTGGCATTGCGTAAGAAGATTACCATGCTGTTGGCGAAGGAAAAAAATGCGCTCGGTACGAAGACGGACTGCCTTGGAGGCGCATCCTTTTCTTTAACTTAGGTCTTCAAATTCTCTGCTCAAACCCTATTATTCGAGATGAGCGAGTCTACAGGCGTATCATAACAACGGCGTAACAGAAGGGCACTAGAGGCCTAGACGTGTCAACTTATTCTGACGCCGGTGATCCAGGGGCAGTCTGCGCTCCGCTCTTCGATCCCTGCACACTGAAATTCCGAGCCAGCCCTCGCAAGAAGTCCACCGTGGTCCTCTGACCGAATTCCCTCACAATTTTGAGGATTCGCTCATCAGCGGAGACGTACTTACTGCGCTCCGGTTCTGAATTACGACCTGCGACGTATCGGGCACGAGTTACATCCCGACTCTGTTGGACTTCCCGGATACCATCTAAGAATTTCCAGAGACTAGGATGATCCACCCCAAACTCGCCCTGCGAACGTCTATGGGCTGCCTCGGCGAAATTGTTCGTCCGAGCAGCACCGTCAAGTGTCCGTTGGTGGAGGGCCCACATCGCGATGGGGAAGCGAGCAGGGGCTCGGAGGATTTCTGCGCCGGGTGCTAATCTCAATTGGCCGATGTAGTTCAACTGTTCGAAATAGTTCAACGCGGGGATCTGGCAATTCTGGAGCTAGTTCACCCGTCGCTGTATTGATGTGTGCCGCGCGGTCAGGGGCGAGAGCCAAGATCATGAGAGCCGGCAACGGAGAATCGGGATCTCGGTTCTTCCGTTGAGTCCGAAATGTCTGAGCTTCGCTTCCATGTTCTTGACTAGGTGGAGAAGCACTCGTAGATTTTGGCATTCGGGAAGACACTCCGGAAGTCGTTGATGAGGGCTAGTTCAAAATCGACCGAGGATTGGATTGAAGCGAGGCTCTTGGACTCTTGATGCAGGAGCTCGACCGCTCTGGTGTAACTGGCCTGGCTCTTGTTTGAGAGGAGTGCACTGCACACAGGAACGACGAATCTCGAGCGTTGCGCCAGGACTGCGAAAACCTGCTGGAAGAGCTTCGGCGCAAAACTGAATTGTACCTGCGACGTAGATTCTGTCGTGGAGACGGACCTCGCGCAAGCTAAAGAGTGACCCCTCCAGAATTCTATCGTGAGATCTGAACTGGATCGGTCGAACACGTACATGAAACCATCGTGACACAATACGTCTCTCCCTCGATTCGATCTGACTAGAGTTGGAACCAGAGACATATTCGTCAGAGTTTTTTTCTCAGACGAGAGAATCGTAAGCTCCCCAAACTTGGGATCCAGATATGATTTCACAGCACGCAAAAAGTAATAGATGAAAGTTTCGAGCAAGGAATTTCCGAAGGCTCTTATCGCGCGCCTTTTATTCTACGAGGGAAATATTCGGATCGTTGCGGACCTGCTTTG